CTCGCCGCTCAGGAGCCAGAAAGGCCAGAAAGGCCAGAAACCCCCCCCCCTCGTTCTCGCTGCTTCGGAAGCAGCGAGAACGAAGCCCTAAGCGTCCCTCTGCCTTTGCTCTCGCCGCTCAGGAGCTCCTGAGCGGCGAGAGCAAAGGCCAGAACCCCCCCCCCTTCGTTCTCGCTGCTCCTGGAGCAGCGAAGCCCCAACCCTCCCTCTGCCGCTCTACTTCTCAGGGGGCGTGGCATATGCCAATGAGTTATGCTAATGAGCTCCGGCAGCTCTTTTTCTACAAAAAGACCCCTGGGCAGGAGAGAAGGAAGTGTGGAAAGGGGGGAGGCTATGGGGGATGCCAGAGAAGGGAAATAAGAAATAGTGTGGGGATGGGCTTACAGGAGGAAAATAAGATGCCTGCCATAAGTCCTTGCCTTGTATAGTATGTGTCTTGTACAGGCAAACGTATTTTAAAAATTAGGTATGTCTGTACAAGACGTTGAAGTGATATTCTCTGAACTCTTAAATTTGCATAGAAGTTTCATTTTATTATTGTTTGTTTATTTAACTTCAGTGAATGAGATTGTAAAATCCTAGCAGTTTATATTCCTTTCCTGAATTTGTTTTATGTGTCCTGGTTTCCACCACGAGGAGAAGTGGAATACACTAGAACTCGCAGTTCATGTTCTTTGTGTTTTCTTCAGTATTGGTGGTGCATGTTCTTCAAATACTTTTAGTCAGATTTGTGATGCTACAAAATGACAAGGTGTAGAATTGGATCTTACCGGTTTTTATGCTTGTGTAAAAGAGAAGAGGAGCAACGATGCCTGTTTCTGCTTCTCACTGCAGTCCTGTTTCACAACACTTTCCCCCATTATCCTGGTGGAAAAAACGTGAAAAGTGGCTCCTCCTTCCACTTGTGTGAGTAGAAAGCTGGTAGTTTCCAAGCCATCGTATTGACTTTTGCATAGCATGGGTTGAGGCCAGTTTGTTTTATATCTATGACTGTGACAAATCTTTTGACAATGTGTAATTATTTCCATATTTTTCGAGTAGTGGGACATCTTGACTGTGAAACTACACAGTCTTACACAGTAGACATTGGCAAACTCAAGGCCTATCTACAGAGGCACAGATACTTCAAAGGTCAACTGCTTTTCAAGCCCTTTCTTTGTGTCAGGCAGAAGCAATAGTTTAAAATAAAGTTCAGCCTTGTAACCATAATGATTTGAAAAGCAACAACTTATAGGTTAATTAGAAAATCATTCAGTAACCTTTATCATTGTAAAACACAATAACTTTAGTGGTTATGTGTTGTATAAGGTAAGGGTGAATCCATATTTTGTTTGAAGACGAAGGAGAATATTAGCTCAGCACAAATGTACAAGAAAGAGCATTTTAATTATGTGAAAGAATAACCTGACTACACATTTAGACAGTACTTATTTTGGCGAGATGCTTCCAGAAACTCTAAAGAACCTCTGTTTCCTTTTGTGAGTGTGCAGTTCTTCTGAATTATTTTTTTAAAGTTTATGAATCTTCTGAAGTGTTTTACTGAGTACCTCTTCCCCTATTGCCAGATGGGCAGCAAAGGGGGATAGGAGAGCTTGCAGTGGGTTCCTGCATACTGGGGGTGAAGATTCATGATGTATAGAAGAAAACGTATCTGTGAGTATAGTGCTCATGGGCCTTCTGTAAAAAGGAAGAAGAAACATACCAAAACAACTGTGTACTACCTTCAAGCATAAGCCCTTAGTTGTCAGAATTGAGAGTTGAGCTGAATGAAAACAAGGACCTAAAAAAAAACACCACTGGAACGGAGGATTTTTCATGCAGCCCAGTCTGTTTCACTCATGGGCCCCGGTCACACTGGGGGAAAAGGCACGGCTAAAGTGCGGCTTTTTTGAGCCGCATCAAAAGAGAAGCATGGCGGCAGGATCAGACAGATCCCCCCAGCCGCCACGCAGGTCCTCCCCGGCATGATCAGATGCCGGGAGGAAGCCACGGACCGGAGAGCGAGGCCAGCCAGCTGTGCATGCGCAGTTCGGCAGGACCTCGCATGCTGCGGGAGAGACGGGCACGCCGGCAATCAGACGGCTGTCCCTTCAGCGGATTTTTCGGTAAATACTAGTGTTTTCTAGGGGTTTTTTGATCCGCATCTTCGGCCGGAAGAGACAGATAGGGGACGGGTGCGCGCCGCTTCCCAGATGTTGCGGTGTGATCGCGCCCGCTTGATGCACCCCTCGATCCGTCCCTCTTGTGGATCAAAGCCTCCCGTGTGACCGGGGCCATGGTATCCTTGACACTTCAAAATGTGTTCTGGCTTACTGCAATGGAGATCAGCATTCCTTCGCCTGCCGAGTGAAGATATGGGTGCTGTTCTTCATACTATTTAATTAATTAATTTTATATCCAACCTTTCTTCCATCACTGAAGTCAAGGTGGTGCACATACCAAAACACTCTAATGTTTATGTCAGGCTGCTGAATCAAATCGTTCAGAGTGTTAGAATTGTGAATATGTTAATGTCACTCTTCGACTCCTGAATCAGTGAGGCAGTGGCTGTGTGGCTAAAACAGAACAAGTTAAATCTTAATCCAAATAAGATAGGCATGATGCTAATAAGGAGGTCTCCTTTGCTGTTCATTTATAGGAAGAGGTAGAACACTATTGTATTTTCCAGGACCTTTCAGTGATATATTGAATTCCACACACACACACACTCCATCTTGCAATAGGGCTGCCAAATGCAGCCGGGGGGCGGGGATTCCCCCGCTTCGGACCTCCGATTACCGGCGCGCCGGAATCGGGGCCCGGGGGAAACCCCACCCCCGCGTGCGCGTCACCCGGAAGTGACGTCGCACGCTGGGGGCGGGGCCATGCGATTTGAGGGGAAAACAAAGAGTTTTCCCCTCAAATGGCAGCCATTTGAGGGGAAAACTCTTTGTTTTCCCCTCAAATCGCGTGGCCCCGCCCCCAGCGTGCGACGTCACTTCCGGGTGACGCGCACGCGCACGCACCCGGGATCGTCCGGGAGCCCCCCGCTCCTGGACAATCTAAATTTGGCAACCCTATCTTGCAACCTGGGACCAGTGGCTTGTATCCAACTATGCTGTTGAGAAAACATACATGTCTTTAAATTTCTTAAGTGTAGACAGCGATTTTTGCTGGTTCCCTTCTCCCACTAAGCCCCACCCTTGCTGAAATTTCGTTTCCAGGAATGTCTGCTTGGGGTGGCAATGGAAATTAATGTTCCCTCTTAAGAAAATACAAGTGCTGTTACATTTTCTTATTGGGGTTGGACACAAGCCACTTATCCTAACCCTCACACCCTGCCATGTCCATAGTCCACAGAAAGCATGCAACATCTGTGCTTGCTTGGTTTATCCAGACACAAATGACTAATTTTTCTGTACTCTACTCATTCACTGTAACAAGAGTTATTGAAAAGCAACGTGGGTAGAGAAGATGCTTTATTGTTGGGCTGCGGTCACACACACTAAATAACCCACTTTCAATGCACTTTCCAACTGGATTTTGCCAGTTCACACAGTAAAAATCCAGTTTGAAAGTGGATTGAAAGTGGATTATTTAGTGTGTGTGACCACAGCTTTGGACACTTTAACTCTTAATAATGAGCTCCTTTTTCTTTTTTCTGTAAAGGAAATCCCACAAATTAGAGATCTTTAGCTAATCTGAATGTTGTTGCAGTGATTTTTAATCGTTCATATATTACTTATTGTTATGACAGGCAGAAGCAATAGTTTTAAAACAATGATTAGGTGTTCCTAAGTGTTTTCATATTGTAACATCTGTTTGCAGAATTGAATGGTGTCAGTCAGCAATTAGAAATTTGCTGTCTGGAGCTAGAAAACGTAATAGCTGTTGCATTTCTCACTTTTTTCTTATCCTGGTTATTTGATCCTGAGATTATTAGTTCTCAGCCTAGAGAAAGGGTCAACTGTTGTGTGGATAGGACAATGCTTATTGTAATAGTGAGGTATTATTGATGCAATTTCACTAAGACCTCCTTTCTCTGAGGCACAAAAATGGGCAATATTTATTTGATCCACTATACTAGAAAGCAAACTGTTAGATTTTTGTGACAGTACTCACTGGTACTGAGTACTGGCACCTTTTGTGTGGGCTCTCCCAAGTCCTGAGGGGGGAATTGGTGGAAATCATTGCAACCATGAGTACCAGCACCTTTAAAAAAATGGTTTGGATTATATATCAAATTACCATCCGACATATTAGTATTAGTATGAGTATCTCCATGTTAATTAGGCAAGACTGAAGTCCAATATCATGTTGCATATATTTAAGACTAGTCTTTTTCATGAAAGTTGAACAGACTTATGATTTGAGTTGCAAAGCCAGGAAATCTTCAGTAGTGTTTCATGTGAAAGGGAGGAGGGGAAGGGAGTATGTATGCATGATCATTAACCAGGTTCATACCTGTCAGAAACAGATAGGGGTTAACTTATGACATCTGAATATAGCCTTCAAAGATAGTGGTTGAAAAGGAGCTGTCATTACAGTGGTAAATTACCCGACTGTGAAAATTAGAATGCAGTGACTGTGCTCGGGTTTCCAAACCTCTTGCTAAGGCCTAGCCATGAGCTACTTTTCAGCTGCTCAGTGCCCATCTGCTGGCTTGTCCCCTGACTACTAAGAATGGATTTCCCCACAAGCTTTGTTTTAAGTTTTCTAAATAATTCAAATTTAAACTAGCCAATCAAGGCAACTGACAATTGGTAAACCAGATGAACCAAGCAAGAGTTTCAGAGCACTCTGTGAAAGACCATGACAAAGGAAGCCACAGAAACTGTTTTGACAATTTCTTAGTTTCTTAGCTGCACCCATAATAGATATGGTGATTAATGAAGCCCAGGATGCTTCCAATTTTGATGTGAAAAGGTGCTAAAAAGGCAGTCTCTGTTCACTTGTGGTTTCCTAAGCACACTTAGTGGTCAGTTATTCCAATGTTCATTTTTGTGCTTTTATTTATACAGATTCAGTGCCCAACTTGCCAATTTGTATGGTGTTTTAAGTGCCACTCTCCCTGGCACGAAGGTGTCAACTGCAAAGAGTACAAAAAGGGAGACAAGCTGTTGCGTCACTGGGCCAATGAAATTGAACACGGGCAGAGAAATGCTCAGAAGTGCCCAAAGTGCAAGGTGAGCACTTATGCACATGCTAAAGTATGTTTTTGTTCTTTGTTTGAATATACTGTGGAGTTCTTCCAACAGCAGAGTCCTGTGCTACTGTTGTTCAGTGGAATTTATGCTTACCAAGGAAGTGCTACTATTCCAGTTAAATTCAGAAGAATTTAATCCCTGTCATCCACTGATGATGATGCTCTTTCACAAAGTGTTTAACTGCTGTTATGCTTTTTTTTTTTTTGTGAGAGCTGAACTGCTGGATTCTGAAGCTGTGAATGGTACCGCTTTCCAGCATAAATACATTTGCAAAACAGAATACATGCCATCCTCTCAGGACAATTGTGATATTAGTGGAATGTCAGTGTCCAGGCAATATTGGGACATTCAGTGTGTCTTATACTGATTCAAAGAATTATTTGCTGTAAGGGAACAAGAGAGACTAGCTTAACCAGCAATAGAAAGTATGAAAAAGTGTTTTATATTTGAAAAACAGAAAAAATGCTGATTCATCATGGCTTTAGGTGGAAGGTTATTACTGAAAACACCTTGGCTTGCCATCTTATTTTTGCATACAGTGTATATTAAATCTGAAGATTAACATGCCTTTAGCTCATGATGAGACTTCCTGGTTCACAGCTCACATATCTTACCTGCAAAACAAATATATTTCAAATACCTACTTGACAGATAAATGTTTGGGATGTAACTTGATTATTTTTTTTCTTCAAAACCAATTAACACCTGATGTATATGTGTCCTTAGGCAATTTAATTTTTATTATTCTTCACTGGTTGTGTGTTTCTGTAGAAAGGAGAAAACACACTGTGGCTGACAGGGCAGTTCCGCAAGGTTTAAACAGCAGAGGTGTAAACCGAAACAAGTATTAGTGGAACTGGAACCCCTCCCTGGGCCAAGAAGGAACCAATGGGAACCCACCCGAAACAAAAGGAGCTGGGGACCCAGTCTGAGGTTATGGGAAGGTGTGATACACACACACAAAAGAGAATCAAACTAGATTAGTACTTAAAGATACAGAGCCCTTCTGCCAGGAATTTTTGCTGTGAGCTGAATAGAAGTTGCACCAGTGGTCATTTGAGACATATAGCAGAGAGATGTGCTTTTTTTTCCATTCCAGTTCTATTTTTATGTAGTTGAAGTCGTATGAACAATGTAGACCAGGCATAGGAAGACACTGTAGTTACTTGAAGTGACTGATATGAACAAATGCCAGATTTTTGTTTTATGTTAATATACCACAGTATTAACTGTCCCTTTGTACTGTGGAATTCCTGCTAGAGAGGTTGCATAGCTCAGCAGTGGCACCAGTGCCTGTGACATATCATGACAGCTGGAAAAGAAATACTGGATTTTTTGAGGACAGTCTTAAGTGAGGGAGGCAGCACCTACTTTAGCTTAGAGCTTCTGAATTTCTTTCCCTTAGACATCCACCTGTTGTTTTGCCACCTTTAGCATATCTCTCATTTAATAAATTTGTGCTGCAGGGGAGAGAATAACAGTAAGAAAATTATTAGGTTGCTGCCTTTCGCATGTTTGAAACATCAAGGTCAGTCTCCAATTAATTGATCTCTGCAGCTAAGAAATCTATATCTAAGAAACCTTGCACGGCTAAAAGCTGATGCCTTTGTCAGCATATGCTGTGCAGCAGTATTAGAGATGTAAAATTTCAGGCATTTTGAAGCCGTGGGGGAGGGGGAAGAAGCTTCCACTCCCCCCCCCCAAAAAAATTGAAGTTTTGGGGAAATTGAAATATATACAATACCTTCCTATCAAAGCTAAACTTCTTTTACTGATTTAACAATATAAAATGCATCATTTATAATTCAGCTAGCATATATAACTATTATATGGCATATTAAAAAAATTAAAAGTATATGTGTAAGAACAAATGTAAAAAAATTGCAAGTATACCCATCTTGAGGGGGAAAATAAAACATTTAATAGAAGGGGGTTTTTTTGTTAGTGTTCTCCAAAGTTTTCCAAGTTTTCCAGACATGTCGAGTTTTTTTTATTGATCCCCCCAAATTTTTACAGTTTTTCTGTTGGACAAATTGGAAAAAAAGTGCTCAGAAACATATGGGAATCCCTCACAAATTTTTCTGGGAGGGGCTTCACATCTCTAAGCCGCACTGAATCATTTATACTGGTATCCTGCAACTAGTTTCAACAACTGATCTGATCCTGCAATTTCATATACTTTGATTTTTAACTTACTTAGTGTTATGTACTGACAAAGTCTTCCTGCAACTCAGGGCTGCCAGAAAGAAGGTGAGCTTGGGGGAAAATACAATAGACCAGCAGGATCCTGGCAGCCACCTATCGTGATGCAATTAGTGTGTAAATAGCCTATTGTTGGGAGTGGGTGTGTTTGGGGTGTGCCATGTGATTTGATTATAAGCAGGGCTTTGGCCCTGCTGGAGTTGTCTTGTAGTTGAGCTAAATCACTGAATAAAGCATGAGCTGATCACTACTTGCGTGTCGAACCCAGTATTTTTCACTGATGAGGATGGGATCCTGTTGAGCCAGCCCAGCACCCTCCAGCACCGCATCACGCCCTGAGGTTCTGAGCCTCTCACACTGCATCGCTACCAGGATCATCACTACCAAGGCTGCTGTTCCAAGACATCTGCCAGAGTTCAACCGCTTGCACCCAGAGCGGTGGGAAACTTGGGTAGAACGTCTGAAATACTACATACTGTTCCAGGGCATCACCGACGCAGGCAAAAAGAAGGCTCTGCTGCTCAGCACCTGTGGCATCTCCACCCTGCGGTTAGTCCAGGGGCTCATCATGCCCGTCACCCTGGAGGCATCCACGTACGAAGCCTTCTTAAAGGTGCTCACAGATCATTTCGCGTCAAAGCCCACCAAGATGGCATGCTGCATACACTTCTTCATGCACCAGCAACTGCCTAACGAGACGGCCGCCGACTTTGTGGCCGACTTGCGCCGGCTGGCCCTCAACTGTGAGTTTGCAAGCCTGGACGAGTCCCTCCTAGTTCAGTTCGTGATAGGCCTCCAGGAGCCAAAACTCCACTGCAAGCTAATTGGGCTGGAGGAACTCACCCTGGTGAATGTGCTCCGCAAGGCCACCGCATTCAAGAAATCTCAGTGGGACCATCAAATCCCCACTGCACACTAAGTTGCTGTTCCTCAGGCATTGGAGGTGTCCAACGAATACGAAGCCCACCAGGTTCACCGCCTGGCTCGCCACAGCTCTCGACCAACGACAGCATCAGCAAAGGACACCCCATCACGTCTTCGCACCAGCTGTGGTGAGGCCCACAAGCGTTGTTCCTGCCGTTTCTGCGACACGACCTACAGGGCCTGCGGCAAGTCTGGCCACATCGCATGCGCTTGCCGCTCTAAAGGGACTGGGAAATGCGCCACCACCCACGAGAAGATGGAGGATCTACACACAATGGCTGTCCACCAACACCAGGTATTGAATTTGCCCTGAGACACCCCGACAAAATTAAAGTGACTGTGTTGATCGAGGGGAACCCTTGCATGGTGGAACTGGACACAGGGTCCTTCATTTCCGTAATATCGGAGGAAACTCTCAGGAGGCTCTGTCCACAAGGGGGTCCCCGCTTGAGGCCTGCTGGCTTCACCCTCAGAGACTTTCAGAAGAACGAGGTGGCCATTAAGGGGTGGGGCAAATTCCATGTGAAATTAGTGTGTATTTTGAGGGACACTTGGACTTGTTGGTGGTGGAAGGGTGGCTCACCAGTTTAATGGGACTATCTTGGTTCACGCCTTTGAGGTTCCAAGTAATGGGGGTGCACCACATGAGGTCCACAGACTTCAGCTGTGTGTGTGACGAATTCCCAGCTGTCTTCGATGGTACGCTCGGCCAGTACATGGGTCCCCCGGTTTCACTCCAACTCAACCCCGAGGTGCGCCCCATCCACCTCAAGGCTCGGAGAGTTCCCTTTGCACTCAACCCAAAATCGAGGTGGAACTGGTCCATTTAGTGGCGTAAGGCGTGTTAGAACCAGTCCCCCACACCACATGGAAAACCCCAATCGTAACCCCGATAAAGCTGAATGGGGACGTCTGCTTCTGCGTGGATTATAAATGTACTATCAATAAGGCACTGGCGGACCACGCTTATCCGGTGCCAGTCGTCAGCCATATACTCGCGGCATTAGCAGGGGCCAAGGTCTTTGGAAAGCTGGACTTGGTCCAAGTGTATCAGCAACTCCCGGTGGACAAGCCAACCATGGAGGCCCAAACCATTGTCATGCACCGGGGGGCATTCCGGGTCAAGCGGTTGCAGTTTGGGGTGAGCGTGGCTCCAGGAATCTTTCAGAATCTGATGGACTCTCTTTTGAAAGGAATTCCTGGGGTGCAGCCCTTTTTCAATGATACCTACGCACCATGCTACAGCGTTTCGACTCCGCCGGCCTGAAGGTGAAAAGGGAAAAGTGCCTCCTGGGAGTCCTGGGTGGAGTTCCTCGGATTCTCTGTGGACGTGGACATTATCCACCCCGCACCCAACAAGGTTCGCGCCATCAAGAATGCCACAGCCTCCCAGTCCAAGGCTGAGTTGCAGGCATTCTTGGGGCTTCTGAACTTTTATCACTCCTTTCAGCCCCATAAAGCCGCCATCTCAGAACCTCTCCACTGCCTGCTTGACAAGAAGGCTCCCTGGGTGTGGGGCATGCGACGCTTCTCCCTACTGTGTTGGCGCCGTCCTCGGCCATCAGTTGCTAGGCAGGCAGGAGGTGCCGGTCGCCTACTACTCCCGGACCTTGTTGTTGGCGGAACGGAACTACACCCAGAATGACAAAGAAGCCCTTGCGATCGTGGCCGGGGTGAAGAAGTTCCACGACTACCTATATGGCCGTCCCTTCACCATCGCTACTGACCACAAGACCCTGCTCTGCCTTCTCGCCCCCGACCATCAGATGCCACAGATGTTGTCGCTACGGGTCCTCCACTGGTCCATCTTCCTGGGAGGGTACCAATACGCCCTCCAATATAGACTGGGGAAG